GAGACCCATGGAAAGGTGATCTTTCTAATGAAAGGCTCCTGCTCTTCAGAACTTAAAAACATCTAAGGAGAAAGGACCACCAAGATTGTGACAGGCAGTCTGCTGCCTTCACAGGCTTTCATGTTATAGATACCTACTTCAAAAGACTTCATGTGTATTTATTCTACATATGTATGGGACAGAAAACATTTCCTAATAACCAGCAAAATTTATAATCTATAGTAAAAGATCAGAAGCTGCCTCTACAATATAACACAGGAAAGCATGAATGTTTCACTTTGTGATCAACGTACTTGGATTACTTAAAGTTCAGCTGCTTTGTCAGCTGGTTGTGCTGTTAAGAGCTTTGATGCACGCTGATGGTGTGCTCTACAACAGAAGGATGAAAATTGTGGCCTTTGCTTAGACCTAAATTTGGACCTAATGAAAAAGGTGCAGATTGACATGAAGAGAAGTTGAAATGCAGACCATTATTTTGTCTGGATCAGATTATCTCCTGGAAATGTGATTTAAACAATCTATAGTAAAATAATATGTAATGTAGGTAATTGCATCTCTCTTTTCTTTCCTTTTCAGGTGGCTATGGTAGAAGTTCAGCTAGATGCAGAACATGACTACCCTCCAGGTCTCCTGATAGCCTTCAGTGCCTGTACTACTGTCCTTGTTGCTGTTCACCTTTTTGCCCTCATGATAAGTACCTGCATTCTTCCCAATATAGAAGCTGTTAGCAATGTGCATAATCTCAACTCTGTCAAGGAATCTCCTCATGACCGCATGCATCGGCACATTGAGCTTGCTTGGGCATTTTCTACTGTCATTGGGACTTTGCTCTTTCTTGCAGAGGTGGTGTTACTGTGTTGGGTGAAGTTTCTTCCTTTAAAGAAGAAAACGGATAATCCACTCCAGAGCAACAGTTCAACCATCACATCAGGACAGGCAGCAGCCATTGCATCAACGTCTATTATGGTTCCCTTTGGATTGATTTTCATTGTGTTTGCAGTTCACTTCTACAGGTCACTGGTCAGCCATAAAACAGACAGGCAATTTCAAGAACTCAATGAACTTGCTGAATTTGCTCGGCTCCAGGATCAGCTGGATCACAGAGGTGATACGATCTCCTCAGCTGTCACTCATTTTGCATAAACCTGCACTTCAAGAAAATAAACCCACTATTCTGCTCCTGCCTTGTTACGTTGACTCCCCTGTGGATGAACTGGTCAAACTGTTGATTGCCATTTAAGAGATGTTGTTCTAACCCTTTAGAGAAAAAAAAAATATTGAGCTTCTCAAAATTTTGGCTGACATCTGAAGGAATGGATGGTGGGGTATGCTTGCACTGCACGTGCATCCCTCTTCTTGTCAACACTGTCTAGATCGCTTCTTGTTACTGCTGAATGGTGGCTGCATAAATACATGGCAAATAACATTGTAAATGTGGGTATTTGTTAGGGATGGATAGAGCAGCTCTCTTCTGCTCTCCTTAGTTGATGTTGGCATTTCCTAGAAGATACTGTTTGTCCGATCCATATTGCATGGCATGATACAAATTACTTGGGATATGCAGCAATTAGCACTTGGTTTCAGTGCTAGCGCTGTTCTCTCTAGAAAGCCTGACAGATGGTAGAAGTGAAAGCTTTCCCACCACTTTCCCCACTATGTTTTGCTGCCAACTAATTATTACTTTACTGATTTCTCCAGCACCTTTTTCCTGTGGCAGTAACACATTTTATAATTCTCTAAACACCCATGACTAGTCTTACTGCGATGTGGTATGGCCACATGAGTAGGAATGACTCTACTCTTCTTTGGAAGAAAATAAAAGCAATAACTGTTTTAAAGTTCTCATGAGCTGGCACATATTATCTGGAGAGATAAATTTGCCTGTTTCCCATTTAGGAATATTTATTTAAAAAGAAGGAACTATGTGTAAATTATCACTGGATAATTTTTTTGCTTGAAAATCAGAGCCATTGCTGTGTTTTTTTTCCAAGACAAAGTAGTAATTATTTTGTACTTTTTTGTATTAAAAAAAAAATTTTTAATAAATCCTCAGATAAAAGCAGCAAAAGGTGCTTTCTCTGCATTGGATTCCCAAGTAATTAGCTATGCCTTAGTCTTCCTTGCTGAAGTGTTGTATTTAATAACTTGTTATAAATTTTTTTTGCTTCCAAATGATCTGGAAGACTATTTTTCTCTATGTAGATTTATTTATGACAGTAGATCATTTGTAATTACTATTGCTGCTTACTTTCAGACACAGATGTCTGTGACAGCGAGGCTACTGTGTCAGTTTTTTATTTCCTCTTTAAGTAAAAACTTCCATTTGGTCTCTTAGATAAGAGGCTTGTCCGAGAAAGATTGCAGCAGTTGTCCTGGGCTGCTTCAGTAATTCCAGCTATGTCTAGAAGTGGAATTTTTTGGAATGCATCCTGCTGTGGAGCAGCTTCAGGCTTTAATGGGTAAAAGCTGGTTTTTGAACACAATGTGAGACAGGTTTCAAGTCTAATAGAACAAAACTTGACCTCCCTACCGTAGCTAACACTGTGGAATAGAAACCTGGGATTTTGAAATGAGACAGGAGTGAATGTGACAATACAGTGGAGCCATATCTGACTGAGCCTGGGCTGAACGTGGTCTCTTGCACTCAAACTCCATCTCAGGTTATCCTGACATATTTGCAAACTGTAGGATGTGTCTACAGAGTTAGGGTGGCAGAGTGTGTTTACTACTGAAGCAGGCTCATAGAGCAAATGGGACTGATTTCTCATGTCAGCACCCCCGCAGTGGAAAGTGTTGACAAGGTTACCCAGGATGTGTTTGTATTCTGAAAAATAACCATTAAAAAACTGCTGGGCTTTTTTTTTCGGCAGCATTCTTGGTTCACAAGCACAAAACCAGCTTTCCACTTTCTGTTTTCACAAGTCCTTCTGGCATAAAGAGGCCAAACGGGATTTTCTTTAGCTCTGCCATTACATTATGCTTCACATATATTCTGTTACTGCTGTAAATCTGCTGATGGTGAGAATTGTGACTACAGTCCCACAGGTGTTCATTCATAGAGCACTGGAAGGATTATGTTACTAAAGGCATTAATGAAGCAGCATTCCAAAACAAAATCTTGGTGGTAGGCACAGAATGTATTTTCCCATCCTTTACTGGAATATCAGTCCTGTCTTGGGGGAAAAGACTCTTAAAAAGCCTAACTGAAGGAAGAAAACCTGACTCAATGTTCACACTAGAGCAAATGGTTGAAAGGGTGTTGTCAGGCTTAAAAAATACGTTTCTGTACGTAAATTGTGTAATTAAAAGTTACAATGTTATTTGGAATGGAAGTCCAGAAAAAATATTTTCCACGTTTATTTTGTAAAATTATCTGCTGTCCTGGATAAGTAGCTGAATTGCTCTTTATGTTGTGGATCTTTTATGAAGTGACAGAAGTGTGGGGTTTTTTGTTTTAAGAAATACAGAATTAGAAGCTAGTGGAACAATCTTATTTTTAACTTTCTCAAGCTGGTAGGTTCTGAGCTAATGGCGCTGTTATTACAGCTGCTTTTCTGACTGTTTTCTGCACTTTAAGCCATGATATTGAGTATGTTTCTCATTTTCCAGTTGTGGAAATGGTCATGAAAGTTACACCTCGGGCACAGTGGTAACTGTGTGTCAGAGGCAGTAACAAGACCCAAACACATGGATCTAAATGTTAAGAGTGCACTTAGAATTTGTTTTAACCCTTATTTATACTAATGGTATTATGCATTTACCTCAAGCATTTTAAACATTGGTTACTGTATATCACTTATTTAGATATAAAGTACTTTAAACAATGAAATAAAATCTACTCAATTGTTGATGATTGTTTGTTACCTAGATGACTAAAATGTGCTTATTTTCTTTCTGTCCCTTACCTCTTCAGCTGTATTGTGCTAATCCTCACTGTGTTTTTCTGAGGATCTGTTAGATGTGTTCAGTCATAATAATAATTTTTCCAGTTCACACAGGCAGATATAAAGAATATAACATAGCTGACATGCTTTTCCTCCTGTCAGCACTGCTTAAATCTTGGGACTAAGCATGCTGTATTGTTGTTATTCTCTCCAAGTACTTAAATAGAAAAGCAGGTTATCTTTCAGCGAAGAAAACGTGAAGACTTGAGGGACCAAATGGACTGTAAACCAGAGGTGATACTGGGAAGCATGGTATTAAATCAGGTGAATGAATGACCTGCTCTCCCAGTTTGTTTTTCCCCAGCCAGCTGCAGTGCCACCTTCCTTTGGTCTTGTGGGTGACACTAAGCCGATCAGAAGCGCCACAGCTCTGCGTGGCCCTTGCATGGGGTAGAAATGGAGCAGCCGGTGCAGTGCCATGGAGTGCTGAGGGTCCAGCGTGTGGGCTGGCCAAGGAGCAGAGCTGGGGTGAGATCTGGTGCTCTGCAGTCCCGTGGGGTCAGGGAGGAAAACCAGTGTCATGTTACAGAAAATGCACAGAGAGAGCAAGTAAAGTTGTGTTAATAAAAATATTAATTGAAACATGATCTGTTACAGCTTCAAAAGCTATCTTGCTTCACAGGTATATATTGGGCTAAGTTCGGGGGGAGTGGGAGGGAACAATTATTTGACTGCACTTCTTGCTTTTGTAGCATATAATGGAAACCCTGCTTCATCTGTAAGGCACTGTGAACGACCTTGCAAGCAACAGGAGTGCAATTTCTTTAGAGGAGGAATAAGCCAGAGGAACTGGGCAAGTAGTCGCTGTGCCACTCCTCCAGCATTTTGTTGGTTGTGGGTTTTCTCTTTTTCTTTTTTTTTCTTTCTTTCCAAAATAACGGGGGATGGGTGAAGGTTTCTGAGCAAAGCCACCTGCAGAGTGAAGCCTACCTGGGCAGCCTTGAGGGAAAAGCGAGGAAGACCATGACATGATACACCCCTGTGGATTTGAGACACGAATAAGTAATCCAGGATTGTGTCCTTATCTTTTTTTTTTTTTTCTTCAGCATCCAGTTATTAATTCTGGCTGTCATCAAACATCGCCTGGGCCTCTGCTAAAACACCATCTGGATCAGCTAGTTCAATCTAAATAAAAAGAATACAAATCAGTTATGCAGTGTAATTGAAGAAGCTTAAGGTTTATTAGATATTGATTACTCGAGCATTAACGGAGAGTCTCCTGTGTATCAGGACTTCTAGTTTATATTGCAGCCTTTCTGCTGCTGTTTTAGAAACACTGCTATGCTTTCCTAATTTTATTAGCATCTTGAAAATTACTTAATCTCCTTGAAATAGTGTGGAGTGGACTAATTTTCCTTTAACAAAAACACATTATTGGACAAAACTGGCTTTGATTTCTGGCCTGTTGGGTCTTGCCTGTTGTTTCAAAAGGTGAGCAATTGCAGTCACCCAAGTGAGCATCATCAGGTCATATGAAAGCGGAGGCTGGGGTCATGCATCCTGCATGCAGCCAGCTGCAGATTCTTGAAAGGGAGGTGCCCAAGCCCTGCCAGGAACTCCTCATCTCACTCTGACCTGCTTTATATCCGGATGCTTTCTGGGGGTTCATGTGTGTGTGACGTTCTCCCAGGTAAAGACATCCAGTCTCTATTTATTTTGTTACGCTTTTTGAAGCCTTGGCTTCTATAATTGCAACAGCAAATATCCTTGTCTCTACAGTTCCGTCTCTCTAATGCTTTCTCATACTGATCATCTTCCTTGCAGACCTTGAAAGGAGGGTAACTTCTGAGGATAGCCCTATAGAGCAAGAGCTTGATGCCATGTTAATACACATATTAAAAACTCTGGCTTGCTGCTCACTGTCAGCAAACCAAGCTGGCTGGTAGGAATCGTTAAAGTGTATAAAGAGACTGAGCAAGTTTATTAACTTCCAGCAGTGTGTACAAGCAGCTATTTGTTTTGTAGCCCGTGTTTCTCTGCATGGAAAAAAGATTCAAATTCTGCCTTGATGCAACCCCATCATCTATGTATTGGATTCCTTCAGAGCCTGGGACAATTGCTCTCTAGTTTCCAGCCATTTTCTGTCCAGTGCATCCCCACCGTTTATTCCTTTCACCTACTAACAAAGGTGCCCCATGAGGCTTCTCCCATGCAGAAGCTCAATCCTTCCTCACTGTTATTAGCCAAACCAAAGCTGACTATTTGGTCCATCTCTGGTTTTCGGAGTTTCTAACGCTGACCCTGAATCTACTGTCTCCAACAGCTGCTTGCAACAGTAATTTGGCAAAAGGTTTATGAAAATCTGAAGTCAATTTTTCTCCTTTTATCTGTTACTTGCTTCATATTCTGAGATCAATAAATCTCTTCAGATGGAATGTGCAATAACAGCAGTGAAAGTTGATGCTTTCTTTTTGCTCATAGAGCAGAAGAAAACTGGGTCATAACTTGGTCCACAGGGAGTTAAACAGCCAGGCTTGAACATCCTGCCTTAGAGAAATGTCAGTTCACCCCAGGGAGGCTGGGCTGGGTTGTTGGAAGAGGCTGTTCTCGGCTGACCTTTGACAAACCTTGCAAAGTAAATATTTTTAGCTACAGAAGTACTGCTCCTTTCACTGTTTTTGCAAAATCAAGATTGTTTTTCCCTGGTGAGTGTTTGGTGTTTATTCTGTGCTGCCGTGGGTGTGCCTAGTACTTACAGGATTAACTGGCTTCTCAAAAATGCCTGTGCTCAACAGGCCCTTGCTGTAGAAACCAGATTTGAAAAAATAAGGGAACCAAAGAGGTAGCAGCTGTAAGCTTCGGTAGCTGTGTGGGCCCAGTATCATTTGCAACCACCTTGTCCCTGGAGCAGAGGAGGAAGGTAGGTAGCTTCACCGGGCATGGGGCGGTGCTGGTCCCTGTGTTACTGGGGTAAAGCAGTGCCGTGGTTATCCAGGGTGGTTCTGCTCAGCTCTAAGCAAAGAGGAGCTTCACCACCCATATGAAACACCCATTGTGTTTCACGTGTGGCTGAGATTTGAGCTGAGACACTTGGCCAGCTGTGTCACTTGGAGCCACATCTGTTTCCTACTGATCCCTGGTACTTGTCCTCCTCTGAGGTTATTGAGCAGAGGACATGCTCTCCCATCCTCCGGCTCCCACGCCGAAGTGATGTGCAAGGACCCAGGAGCTGCCAGGCGTTGGGAGGGGACGGGGATTGGCTCTTCCTCTGCAGCCTGTGTGAGCCTTAAGGGAAAAGGGGAACGGAGGATGTTGGCTCTCAGACACCCATCTGCCCGCCCTGGGAAAGCTACATGCACCCCTCTGCCCATGGGGCTGCTGGCCACCAGTGAGCTCCTGACTCGGGGTGCCTGGGTAAAGGAACTAGCTGACATTAGCACTGCAGCTGCTCGGGTTTCACTAAGACCTAGTCAGCTTCAGCAGTTTGGCTTGGCAAAATCATTTGGTTTTGACGCAAATCCCACTATTGTTTCTGCCTCTATTGTCCCCGTTTCCTTTGTGCTGCTTCAGGTCTCTAAGGAGTTTCGGTGCAGGAGAAACACATTTTTTCAGATGTGCAGGTGATTAGGAGGCTCCAGCAGTGGCTTTGCGCAGGTCACTCAGTGCTGGATGGGTCATTTGTCCCTGCGGGGCTGTTTAGGACACTGCTGGCCAAAAGACTCTGAGCAGACGCCCCATGAGCCTGAAGCCCATCAGAGTAATCACTTGAAGAGTGAAATGCTACCTGGAGAGCTGCCCCAAGCACTGATGAATGCAAATATCACCAGCAAAAATGAAATTTCTAAGTAATTACCTTTGGGATTGGATATTGAGTAGGGGCAGGAGCTTCGTCTCTGCCGAAGTCAATCAGCATTCCACATTTTGGTATATCTGCTGCCCAGATACCTTCAAACAACTGTCCTTTATCCAAGTAGAAAAATTTCCCTGGGCCATGCTTCATTCCATCTTTCCAACCTCCTTCATACCGATTTTCATTTGCTGCAATTAAATACATGAACAGACCGTGAAATGTGCACCATTTCACCAAGGGGCTGCAAACAAAACAAATGAACACACCAAACCGACAGAAGAGGAAATCATCTGTTTGTTCTAGTAATTTCGGGGGCCCTGCAGCATAGTGTGTTGTTCTCCTTTCCCGGTGTTCCACTTGCTGTGCCGCAGAGGAAGAAAAGGCTGTGGAAGACACCCACACTTGCCCACTTGGAACCAGAAATGCGTTCACCTGCTTTGCTCTTCTCCTGGTGATAAACTTTTTTTTTGCTGATACATGGAGCGAGTGAGCTCAGGGTAAGACTAGTTGCTGAGTCACTCTTCACAGCATGAAAAATTGTAAGACACAAGTTTCAGATTTGTCACTGCAACAAATCACACAGGATCTCTGGCTTGAAGAGGTTTGCTTGTCTGGGCAAGGAACAGCAGCACTATCTGATCATTGTCCAGACAAAATAACGTTGATTTCAAATAATACTTGCAGTTATGTTTTTTCTCAATGAATTACAGGGCCGGAATTGCTGTGAGTGTCTGAACAGTTCAGGCAATCAGTTACAGACTGTTTTTCCAGCTGTACTGCATCTCTCGGCATTTTTCTGCAAGTTGAGAGAGGTTTTTTGGGCTCTGTACTGCTATCCAGGAATCTGTCCATCACCAACAGGGAAATCAGAGCTGCAAAAGGAAGAGAGCAGCCTGGTCCAGGGATGCTGATTGAGCACTGATCATACCCACATGATGTTGGGGCTGGGATACACCCAGGCCGCCCTGCTCTCACTAGGAGAGTCCTCTGCTGTCCCCTTTTCCCAGATACAGTGTTTCTAAGCCAAAAACCACAGGGATTTCTAACCAAGTTACTTAGTGGAAATATCTTTGGGTCTCAGCTGAACTCTGCCATTCTTCATAGCAAGAGGTGGCCGAAGTACCAGGGCATCCATCACGGTGCCGCAGAGGGAGCTGGGGACTGCCAGAACACTGTAAGGCAAGAGGGAAAAACCAAAAATCCTTCTGGGGAACGTGGCTGCTGGGCTCTTCAGGCAGGGTCTGGTTTACAGGCTGGAGCCATGGCGGTGGTCATCTTCAGCTTGCACCTGGTGGTGTGCACCACCGACCTGCCCTGCCCGCTGGTGGGAGCAGTTCAGCTTCTGCTCCCCAGCCACCGATAACTCAGAAACCTCCAAAACCACAGACCCAGCTGTGATGGAGGGGCCATCGAATGCCTGGCTGCACTGCAGCACTCGGCTGCTCCCATCCGTTCTCTTCCCAGAGCATCAGAGATGCTGCGCCGCTCACGACAGAGATCTCTGTGGACTTGCAGTGCTCCAGTTTAAAAGCCATTTGGCAACAGGCTGTAGCAGAGGCAGCAAATCAGTGCGGTGCTCCCAGCCAAGCTCACCCTCGCTGGGCACGCTGCCACTACAAGCAATTTAATCTTGAGCTGCAGCTCATCGTGACCTCCACTGAAGAACTCTTTCTTTCACCATCGCAAAGCTGCCGGCACGTGGGCACACTTCCAGCGGCTGAGCTGAATACATTAAGCTTGTGGGTATGAAATAATTGCTCTGGCTAATTTTAACCAAAAGGAATCCAGCTCACAATCGGTTGCAGGGTACGCTGGAGGCAACCGGGCTCTGAAACGGTGCATCAACCACGGCTCAGCCCCGAGGGGTCATCAGTTTATAATGCTGAGGGTGACTGTGACAGGAGCGAAGCAGATCAGTGGAAGGAGTTGCCCCTGGAAGCAGGTGCTGATTTCATCTGGACTAGCCATTGGTCCAAAGTGACTACAGTCAGCAGAGAGAGTGCAGAGAGAGTGCAGTCGTGCATGTGATGTGCAGTGAAGGTCATGCTTGTTCCTCCCAGCTGCTTTGCTTAGCTAATTACTAGCCTTGAGATCACTTTCAAGTAAAAAAATAGACTAGATGAATAATAATATGGTGATAATATTTCTTCAAATGTTCCTGGAATGCAGTGCCTTGTACTGCAAAGAATTTAGATTCTTGGCTTTGGGGAAATACGTGTAAAACTCCAAGCAAAATAAGGGGAAAAAAATCCAAATTTCTATTTTTATGATCAGATTGCCCCTAACATTCCCAATCTGTAATATGCTCAGTGGTATTGTTGGGAAGGGATTACTAATGAAACCCCTGTGTTCACTGAACACGAGCTAGTGTCGGAAGTAAGAGAGAGGATGGAGTGAACTCCAAAAGAAAACTTATCTTTTTTTTTTTTTTTTTTCCTGTGCTGGAAACTGGACTCCTTTTTGGTATGCAGCAGTTAGAAAATATGTCTGGCAAAGCGCCTGGCTTGAAAAGAGGGACTTGCTCTTCCCTGACTCAACAGTGTATTATCTCTAACCCCAACCATCCCAGTCATTTAAATGTAAATCACAGCAAAAATAAGCTTTCACGTGTGTGGGCTTGAGCAGTGCAACGCTGTCCTTTGCACGGCCTGTGCTGCCTCCAGACCCAAACCAGGAGGGGAGGGATGACACAGGGGACAGGCAGACACCGGGGGTGAGGATGGTCGGTACTTACGCAGCCGCAGCATTCCCTGCCCGCCAGGCCGGTCCTCCAGCCACTGGCCCTCGTAGATGGATCCGTCCTGGTAGTACATCCGTCCCCAGCCGCTCCGCAGCCCACCGTTCCACTCGCCCTCGTAGCGCTCCCCACTGGGGTAAAATGTCTCCCCATAGCCCTGGAGAGCAGCACAGAGATGGCTGGTTAGGAGCCTGTGTACTGGAAGGAGTCAGCGTTCAATTTTGGGACATTACTTTCTTGATACACTCCTGCTTTGCTTATTACTCTTAACACAGGGCTGCTGGTGGCTGTCATGTGCTGAACAAAATGAGAGGTGATGGAACGCGATATGTTTTGGCAAATTATTTTATTCACATTTCAGGTTTGTATCTCGGTGTTATTTTGGCATGATTGCTGCTAATATTTTGCTAAAAGTGGGTTTTACTAGTCTATAAACCTGCCCGGGGATATGCAGCATAAAAACAACCTGTCTCTCAACGTGGGGATTTTATGCCTTTCAACCCTGACAGTGCTTCCTACAGCCCAGTGTGTCCCAGGCTGGGAAAATCCTTCCCTTGCCCTTGGGCAGACTGAAGGTCTCCAAATGATACTGACCATGGAAACGGTTTTGCCTTCTCCTCCATCCATACTCCAAAGAAGTAATGTCCTAAACAGCCCCTACCTTGCTTCCTTCCTCCTTCACATGAAACTAAAGCCAGCCCTGAAGGCTGCCTGCAGTGAGACCAGCAGCACAGTCAGTGACGCCACACGTTCCTCCCTGCAGCCAGGCGCTGGGCCAGGCTCCCAGGGACACCGGTGTCACCCCAGCAGGGCAGGCGAGCTCTGACATTGAATCCTCTCCACTCTTTGCTTTCCCTCCTCAGACTTGATGCCACTGGTAGGTTTGGTTGGTGAACTTCTGAATTCAGACCCCTGGGTGTGTGCACATTGGGAGGTGTTTGTCTTATCTGTGTGTTTGCCGTTAGGAGAAGTCCAGAGGTACCCCCTAAACCAGGGAGTGATACCAGTAAGAAATATTTGCATATTACTAATGAGTCTTCCCATAGGGAATAAAGCATTAATTTATGTCTGAACAACAAATACAATCAATTTTGGAAATAACTGATTTTTCCGTGCATGAATTTTATTAAACTGCATGGATGTAAAAGGGAGGTTTCTGTAGAAGAAAAAAACAACCCTAGTGATATTTGGATGTCATTATAAATCTTTTACTAAAGCTCAATCATCCAAAGTATATCCTCAAAGAACGGGAGGGGAAGCTCCCTCCAAGAGACTGGAGCCACAGAGCTGCACGCCAATTAGAGGCGTATGAGGCTATTAATTTAATTTAAGAGCACAGAATCACAGAATCACAGAATC